CATTACCATCATCATCATCATCATCACCACCACAAGTCACAATTATCATCACTATCACCACCATCATCATCATCTTTAGGAGCAGTATTATCGCATTATCATCATGATTTTTACCGATAAATTTTCCATATTCGTGCGGTCAGTCCATTTGATTTCTTCGTTGTTCTTCCTGTGCCCTTCTCATCAAGGCATCCAGAAAGGCTCTTCGTTCATCATCCGTGTAGGTGTACTCTCTCTCGACTTCGCTTCGTTTTGAAGCAGGCACTCTTTCTCTTAATCCTCGACCCGTCTTAAAGAATCCTTCGGTAGGCACCAGAGCTGCACTGATACAAAGAACGAGTAGAACTAGGACTAGTTGGTTCTGCATTATGAGGTTTGGTATTTGAACGGTGAGGATTATCCTGGAACACAGATATAGACGTTATTTTAGTATCATTGTCCAAATTGTGAATGAAAGTACGACAGGCACTTGACAGGCTTCCTTTGCATGGGTTAAATTTATCAGACATGCATCTAATGTAATCAAATGCCAACTTGAATCAATTGTTTTCCACATCACTTTAAGATACTGGAGACCTTCGAAGATGATAAATGTTTTTTCCTCTCTAATTGAAATATTTTATATTGATCTTAGCTAGCTGATCAAAGTCAGAGCACAGCTCTCACAGGTCTAACCCTGAAATAAGTCAGAGCACAGCTAACAAACAGGTCGAACCCTGAAACAACCTCTTGGCTGATTCAAGTCRGGGCAAGGCTAACTCACGGATAGGACCCCTGCAAACAACCCTTGGGCTGATTTAAGTCAGGGCACGGCTAATTCACGGATAGGACCTCACGGCTAACTCACAGGTCTAAACAACCCTGAATAAAACAGAGCACAGCTAACTAACAGGTCGAACCCTAAAACAACCTTTGAGCTGAACTAAGTCAGAGCATGCGCACGGCTAAATAAAGTCACAAATGAAATTTGACTTTGGCGTATTATGTTTTGAGGAGGGAGAAAAACCGAAAAAAAACTTGGAGAAAAAGACAAACTCTACTCACATGTGATAATGACTAGTCCAGAAATCGAATTCGATTCTTCGGCAGTGGTAAGATGCGAGTACACTAACGCTACTGTGCCATATTAATTGATTAAGAGCTATGGTTCTAACTTGACTTTAAGACTAGATATGAAGAACTTCCTTCATCTATTTTAAACGCTTTCCTGTCTACAATCTTGAAGTAGGGAATAAMAGAATAGCGCGTTTGTAGTTCTGCCGGAAACATTACGAGATCTAGCGTTGAAAAAGTAAATTCTCATAAAGATATTACTAAGCCTTAAAGTGGGGTTAAATATATCCTGCTACGATGTTTAAAATAGACGACTTCCGAATTCCAATGCACAACAAAGAGAATGAAATAGGAAGCGCTTTTTGCTTTCTTAGCTTAAGTGAAAATTTTTCTAATTGATACGTTAATTAGAATTATTTTTATAATCAATTCTCGCATTTTTTACATCACTTAGACGGTAAGTGTTTTGTATTTCAAACAAAAAATCTGATATTTTTGGCTTTAGTCTAATAATTGCAGTTAAGCCTGGGCGAAAATTTTTGATCCGAAAAACATCTTGTATGTTAGACTGAGAAACACTAAAATTTGACTTGGTTTTACTTTACCAAAAGATATGAAATAAAATACGATTCGATGTAATAATAGTGCGTAAAAATTCAAATGCGATAGAACACGCCTGAAATTTGCCGCTTTTGCCGATTCAGTTCAATGAAACCTTCTTAAAATTGTCTTGAATGCGAGGCTACTCATGGAAATGCAAAAGAAAGGCCACAAATTCCATCGAGAAAAAGTGTGATTTCTTTTCTATTTGCATGTTAGCCTTGCATTCGTAATACTTTTAAGAAGGATCCATTTTCTACTTTTTCCTTAAGTCTGAAAATTAGCAAATGAATACTGAAATAATCTGTATTGAAAGGTTTTTCTTTTTGATTGCTAGATCTGTTCATCGTCAATACAATTCACTATTTTTTAAGAAGACAATGCAATTTCTAGAATGTGCAGGTTTACTGGCTCGCGTACCTTTGAAGTAGAAAACAGAGACCCAGAGACCTTTCAAATGCTCGATACTGGAGATTTGTAGTGGCAATTTCTATACACAAATATGCTTTTTAGCATACATGCAGACAGACAGTCCATTCATTTCTGTGATTTGGCTTTTAGTTTTGGAGATATTTGGGGACAAAATCTAAGATTTCCCTTCAAGAGGTGGTGGGTACCGGGTAACACTACCCCTCCCCCCTTAATCGGGTACCGTGAGATGACAATAGCCCACTTCCGAGATATGTTTCCCTTGTAACGCACAAAGGTTTCAGTATGAGGCTACGTGCTAAATGCTCAGTCATTCGTAACAGGCGGTAAGAATTAATTTAATTTAGCACGTAGCCTCATACTGAAACCTTTGTGCATGACAAGCGAAGCATATCTCGGAAGTGAGCTATTTTTTTGCCCTCATTCCTAACCTGTTGGTTAAGCGTATGATGATCCTAACAGGGGCGCGGCCAGGATTTGCCGAAGGGGGGCCAAAATTAATAAATCCGCCAATTTTTTAGGGGCCACCAGAGCGCGGAACCAGAATAAAAAAGATCGGCAATCTCGCACATCTTAGAAGAAAATCAAAATTACCTTATAAATTATGAAACGCCGCTATTTTATTGCCACGAAGGGGGGAGGGGCGAAAATTAAATTACCGTATTGTATAAAGGCCGCAATTCATAATGTTGCCAAGAAAAGGGGGACCAGGCCCCTTCAGCTTTCCCCACCCGCTGCCTACGCCCTTGCATAGATCCAAGATTTCAAAGTCGATACCGTAAAACCTGCCAAAGTTTTTTTTTTTTTGTTTGGTCTCAAACAGTTTTCCCTTACTTCATATAGTCAAGGTTTTCCCAGATTTCTTTACAAATATGTTTTTACGTAATAAATAAATGCAATAACGGAAGTTACAGTGAGAACATTCGAACCGTGAACCCAAATCTTGGGCTCTTTTTTTTATATGCACACTGTAAATAATCCCTTGACTTAATCGATTGGAAATAATATTTATTTTGATCACTCAGTGTATTTGAACTCAATGCTTTTTCAGAGGGTTTGAAACAGTAGAAAGTTCAAGGAATAATAACCAGAAAAGATTAGTGTAATAACTTTTAGTTAAAAACAACAGAATTTAAAATCAATCATTTTAACGGGATGACTTACTTACTTAGTTATTTCTAATTCAACTTTCCAATTAGTCAAAGAAAATGTTGTTAAACAAATGAAGTGCTAAAAAATTTTAGATATTTTTTTTACTAAATTCTTAGAAGTTAATCCCCCACTTGAAAAGATCTACTTACTTTCTTGCTAACAGAAAAATACAAAATAGCTTTGCTTTTTATCAGTACATACCTACAAACTGAAGTATTAAACAGTAATGATAAAAAGGTAAATTATACAACGTGAAAAAGATGAAAGGACTAGCGTCCGAAACGTCAGTAAGTTTTTTCTTCTTTTCACGGTGTATAATTTACCTTTTTATCATTACTGTTTCATTAGAAACACCGACGCAGCTCACCATAGTTTTTAGCTAGTTATATCTTCGAAGTATTAAACATATAAGCTAAACGTTTTGACAGCCGCCGGAATAACTCCCATAGGTAAAGAGATACATTTTAGCGTTTTAAGCAAAACTCTACCAGGTTTTTATTGACATTTGTTAGTTTGTTTTGATCGAAAGAATTCTTTCTAAAATGTTCAATAAGATAATCTGACGGACGTAGCTTAAAATTACTTACTTTAAAACACGTTAGTTTTGTGTGCTTTGGTTTCAAGTTTAGATACGAATGCTTTTAGAAGCACGATGTGTAATCTTGAAGTTGTATCCGTTGTGATAGGTAAACAGAATCCACTCACTCTCGCTCAGTCAAGTTCAAAGTGAAAACGATTAAATGGCTAAAATTAAACTGTTGAATTCTGTTTGTTTTTTGCTTTTAGTTTTCTTACTACTTCTTATCTGAACTTCAAACTTCATTTTCTATATATTTAACTCTATTTATGCAGCCAGTTAGGAACCAAAAAATATAGAAATATGTAATGACTGAATAACAAATTTAAAAAGAGTTACAAAAACTGCGTTCTTATGAATGTTTCATTTGAAGTCCAGTCTTTTTTCCTGTCTAAATTCAAATATTTTTAAATTGACTTTGTTTCGAATCCTAACGAATCTATAAATTTAGACTTCGGGATCTGTATTGACTRACTCAATTACGAATTACGGTGCTTTTCAGAGTTCCGACTAACTTCATTAGCAAATTTTTCAAAAATTATTTTTTTGGTTTTAAAAATTTAAAGCTGAAAAACAATACTGGGTGGAGCCGAGGAAAAGTGGCAAAAACATATTCCGCAAGAATCAAAAGCTCTACCTTCCATAGAAAATGTTGAGTGTTGTATTTGTTTAAATGTTATTGATACGAAAATGTGGCACTTGAAACTATAAACTACTTACATACCACTACTATTCGTGGAACCTTCTTCTAGAGCTCAGCTTGAAACGGTTGTGTTAGAGCGGCAGCTTGTTGACACGTTTTTTATACGAATTATCAGCGGAAGTTACATCGACAGATTTTACAAGAAAAACATCCCCGACCGTCTTAAGCCCACTTAACTTCCTTTAAAAAAATAGAATTTGGAATTGAAATCCCTTCACGATGACATAAAGCTCTTTTTCTAGTTGAAAAGTTTTAATTTTAGATGAAAATCGTTTTGGTTTTGAGAGAAAGCTTTCATGTTTCTTCTGACGTGTGTCAATTGAGAAACAGCTCGTTCACAAGAAAAGATTTACGATCCTACTTCAGATGAGTGGGATATRAATGAGTGAATTATCTCCAAGTGGATCTAGAATCCAGCCTCTTCGACTTCAAAAGCTAAGCTAAGATTACAACGTGCATTAACATTAGAATACCTTATTTATGTCGACTTCTAATCAACTCGAGATCAGTCTACCCCAACGTGCAAAATCAACGAACCAAACTCAGGAGCGAACACTCACAATCTGTAAACTCTCAATATAGATCTTGTTATATATAACACCAGAAAACTTATTTCTTTTCAAATAAATTTTTAAAATATTTAGTGTTGTGGGTAAGCATCTTTTTATTGCTTCGAAATGTTTTGATTTTAATTTAAACTTCGCCATCTTTTTGCTTGCATTTATTTAGTAAACAATTTTGAAAATCTAATCACAGTTTAAGCCGCGTTCTTTCGGCTATTTTTTTTCCTTTTCTTGCAATACTTGCGAACCAAATATTTATATTGCATTAATAATTCTTTAATGAATTATTTAGAAACAGAATAACCGAAATACAAAGTTCCAATGATATTTAACAAATAATATTTAACAAATGGGTAMGACTTCATAAAAGGTTTAGAGTTTGGTGTTCGTTGATTTTTGTGAGGCACTCAACTGAGTTCACAGCAAATATTATATATATTCAATATATTATATATATATCTTGTATATACACCGAATCCCTAAAACTTTGACAATTTAGCGATATATATACATATGTATGTATCCCCTTTTTCCTATTGTCTTTCCTTGAAAATCCAGGTATGACAATAGAAAAAAGGAGGTTACACATATATGTATATATATCTTTAAAGTGTCAAAGTTTTAGCGATTCGATGTATATATATATATATATATATATATAACATATATTCAATAGTTTAATATATATTAAAAAGACATTGTAGAAATGTTTCTGAAATTGAAAGGATAAGAAGATTGTTCCTTAAAAAAATAGCCTGTATAATAAGTCAGACAGTTAGTCAAAATCTTAAAATTTCAGCTTTTAGTGCAATGATTAATAGCTAGCTCCCCCCAAGAAACCGGATCAAAATTATATGGCTTATTGTCTTTCTATCACGGCGATATCATGATCAATGTTAGAAAAACCATGAATGCCAGCTAAAATTTCAAAAGGTCAATCGGATATTATAATAAATGGTTTCATGGTGGGTATATTGAGCTCTGAATATTGAATTTGACTATTGAATTAAAATCAAATAAACAATTGCGTAATTGAAGTGGACGGAGCTTGCGTCAGGATGTCTGCATCAAGAAAAATTAATGACGATCGAAATTCA